GAGCAGGGGTCCTCTGTCCTCTAAATTCATCCATTCAGGCCTTAGAATCTCACTTTCAACGTACTTTTATTTTTTTTTTTTAAAGAAAAAAGCCCGTTTGGCTGCTGTGGCGCCTCCCCCGTCTGTGAGCACCCTCCTCCCCCTTGGCTGCGGAGGGGGCTCCTGTGGGAGTGCGCCAGGCCCCATCCCGGCTCTTTTTACCCAGAAATTCTCCTAAAAACTCAGCTCAGGTGCTCCGCCGGACACACACAGCCCTCCGCACACGCAGCTTTCGGGACAGCGTGTCACGCGTGCTTTACCTACATGAAACGCTGCTCGCAAATTAGCAAGGCCACATGTTTGTTTGTTTTTTTTAGTCTCTTTCTTCTTACTTAGCGAACCATTTTTGCATTTTCGCGACCAGTTACTGTGTCATCCACTGCTGCCCATGCGCCAGCGTCTGCCTCTGCATAGACAAATTTTAGCGCGCCCTGAGAATGGGCCCATTTTCTCAGCACGGATGGGAGACTCTCTCTGCAAACGCCAACGAGCTCATCTACGCGCAAAACGCTGACCTGGCTGGCAACCATGAAAAAGCAAACCTCAAACAGAGGAAAAAAAAAACATTTTACAGACACGTGAACAGCTTATCTTGCCAGGCAATGGGGTCGCTGTGGTTTTCAGGCTCTCTCTGGCTGCCCCTAGGCACCCTTACCGAACCCGCTCTCGCAGCCGTCGGGGATGTTCTTGGGGCAGGAACCTGCTTCTCTGCTTTTTGACATCACCTGGCACAACAGGACCCTGTCCCCCCGCTGGACTCTGTAAGACATTACCCCCAAACTGTTCCAGCGTTTTGCTTGTTTGCTCATCTGCCCCTAGAGAGTCCTAAATAGTGAAACAGTGAAAAGTAGTTCATACCTCAAGTTGGCCTCCAGGATAGAAGCAAGGATGGGATGTGTAGCACCAACTTATGGTTTGAACTTCAGAAATGAATTATACCAAATTGCAGCGTATCAACAAACAGCTCTGTGATCTTTTACCCTTCTCCAAAGCACTGTAATAACCTCAGCTCAATTGTTAACCGCTGTAGAGCACAGACTGACTTTTACTGAATTTTCTGTTTCCGAGTACACGAGTGGTAGCACCCACACCTATTTTTTGCACTCAGAAGTGCTTTATGAAAAACTAACACTGCAGTTTGCGTTTTATACTCCTGACGCAACCCCGATAGGAAATTTCCTTACTAGTCAGAAAAGAGAAAATCCGTAACTGCCATCAGCTTATATAAACACACCAAAATACTGCTGCCTGTCCCATCACAATTATTCTATACCTGAAGCTACCTCTATCTGGTCTCATGGTGTAGCGATGAGGACTGAAATGCAGCCATGCCTTTTAAAACTGCCAGGGAGATACTACTAAAACTGCGTTTCCTGGTAAGTCTAGAGTTAATCTAATGTACTTGTCTGTCAGCTGAGCCTGCCCACAGTAATTGAATTAGGATAATGGGAAGTAGCCAGAAGTCGGGAACACTACTGTTCCAGTCTAACATGTAGGTAAGTTGCACAATACAGAAAGTCAATCCCTGTACGCACCACTGCGTGGAACCGATTAGAAAACAAAATAATACATCGTGACAGATAGCCTGAAGAACTCCTCAGCCTCCACTGTGTGTGAATTTGTGGGTGTGTGTGTGTGTGTTTGAATGATTACTCCAACAGCTGCAGCAGTCCATTCCCAGGGAGCACAAAGCCAACCAGCAGAAGGCCAAATTCCAACCGTGTAAGTAAGACTCATGGCAAAGCACTATCCAGAGCTCCAGAGGTATTAGGTACACCACTTGCCACATCTAAAGCAGCACAGGTTCACAGCTAATATTTAGTATATGGGACTGTTTCAGTCCCTATAGACTGAGAACTTGGAAAGGAAGTTCTCTCTCTCTCTCTTATCTTCCCCCCCCCTCCTAAAAAAAGTTGGAACCAGAACTTTTATATGTCAACTGCTATCACTTTCTCCACCTCTATAGTGGAGGGCAGTTGCTTTTCTTTAAAAGAGACTTAAGATGCTTTTGCTGGTAAAGTGACATTTAGCATAGGAGTTATCCTTCTAGCATAAGGGAGACAGCATTTAAGGTGTTTGCATACATTTCACTTACACAAGTCACTTCAGTTACTGCATTCTGAGCAATAATTAAAAGTTAGCACCAGCTGAATCCTCTTCCCAGACACTAGCAGCAAAGGATTACACAACTTTTGTTCCTCCTTGGACCTGAGGAAAAGGTTGCCATGTTTTGGTATGTAAGGTACAGGATTCAAATCGACTCACAGGCTGTTTGTAAATACAATCACTATACCAGAGGAAGAGTTGCACTTCACATTCTGAAGACATGGAATTTAGTGTTCCATGTAATTTAATTCCCTTGAAAAAGAGTTACAGAGGAGGTACACTGGGATAAGCAGATTTAAACAAGTTTTATTCAACTGTTTGGAGGAAAGAAAAATTGATATAAAAAAAGTCAGGAAATGAACCGACTTTCTTGAAGTCTGCTAACACATTCTGGCACATTTACAGATTCACACAGTAATTGCTAAGAGAACACATCTCCACACATTTTACTTAACCTGCGCTGCAATGAATATTGTATTTCAGAATTGTACAGAAAACACTTCTGTAGCCAACTTGCACCTAGTGTTATCAAATCACTAGCTACATGTAACACAAACATCTTGTGATAATAACCATGAGGTACATTATTTCTCTCTTTTTATATATTAACCCAGTACGTCCTGTGCAGTTAATCATGGATTATACGGTTAATTTAAACAGGTTTGTAGTCAAGCTTGGACTCCAGCTTCTTAGAATCAGCCACTTTTCTAACAGCTTTCATGAAGTCTTCCTGAACTACAAAGTCATGATCAGCACGGATTGCAAACATACCTGTGAAGAATAATTTCATAGCAAGAATAAGTTGCTACTTGCAGCAACAGAGAAGGCAGTACCTAAAGTCTCAGAGTGAAAAGGATCAAAGCTGCGCAGTCTACCTGTAGACGAGCAACTGAGTACGTTTCTTACCAACATACAAGAGTTGTATGTCAGAGTAAACTACAGTGAAGTCACTTTTTTTGTGCTAGGTGTTCACTGAAAAAGAAATATACTAGTATAGCTACATTTCACTATGGTAACTGTGTCATTTTCAGTTCTCCAACGTAGGCAAGCCTTAACTGGAAAAAGGACTTTACAATGTGGAGAAAACAAATGCTACTAACTCTCCACCCAGGTGCTAGGAGACATGGATGCTCCACAAAAAGGAGAAAAAACAGATACTACTGTATCTGGTGTCACAGCTATCACTGTTTTCTGGACTATATCTAGTTTGTCAAAGGTAGTTTGACAGAGGTCATGATACACAGCCTGTAAACAGTTAGAGTCAGCTCCAGCTTAGAAAGGGTACAGCCATTTTTCCCATAGTGCTGAATCTGAACGATGGGGCCCTTTTACATGTTACAGGACAGGGCCGAAATCCATGCAACTCCGCATAGATCCAGCTTGCATACGACAGGGGATTAGTAGGCACAATGTCACATGAATGCAGTGCTACTGCTCATATCTGGCAGCAGATCTGTGCAGAATCAGCTGGACTGTTTGTTTGTCTAGCTGGTTTAGCAGCAGACTTGACAAGAAACCTGTTGATAACAATAGAGGGAAGACGAGAAGAATCAAGTTCTGGGCGACTGTAGACTGTATAGGGCACACAGAAACTTGGAAAAAAGAAAGGAGATTTCGTCCAAGATGTTCCATCGAGCTTCAGGGCATATCATCATTTCTGCTGCTTATGCTTAACAGCCTAGGCATGCATGACATGCTGTGAAATAAGCAACTGTTGTAGTGGTCTGGACAACAGCAAAATATTAGTATTTCCATTAAGTAAACACTATCTAGCCCTTGAGAAAGGGAGTCCTTATAGCCTGGCAAAAAAAATGAGCACCAGTGAATAAACACTGTATTCCAGCAGAACATTTTGGGCCTTCAGATTTTAATCCATTAACAGAAGTAACAGAGACACAGCTCAAATGTTTGGCATTAATAAAGACTTAGCACATAAAAATTAAGAATTAAGAAAGTACCTGCTTCAGTACAAACATTTCTCAAGTCTGCTCCATTAAAGCCATCTGAAAGCTTCACAATTGCTTCATAATCTATTCACAAAACATGAACGACAATTAGATATAAATCATATTTCTAGTTATAGACGCCACTGAAATACAGGTCCAGCTAAAAATGGCTGGGCATTTGATTTCAGGGCAAAGAGTTATCAGCTAGATTGATTGTTTCAGTCAATTTATCAGCCATATTATCCCTTTTATTAACACGGAAATGTAGCTCAGCCTACAAAAAGCTCATCGCATATAACAAAATTCCAAAGATACTAACTTGCAGTTACAAGCATCAACATGAAATGCAAGAAAGATCTACACCAAAGCAATGTTCTAATCACCATTTAGATGCCATTGAAAACTTATCTCCAAGTGATCTCAGCTTGGTCCCTTTCCGTTTACAAGAAATGTATCTAATAAAGGCAGTAAGTGTTTTGCTATATTAAACCTGGCATCTATGCACATACACATTTGCAAAAAAAGTTGCCCAGGGCTATAGTTTCTAGAATAAGTTTCTTTAAACAGTATATATATAAACCCATGCAAATTCTGATTTTTGCAATGCTGCATATTATTTCTGGCTCTGCAATCCACCTATTAGAAGTTTGTGAAGTATAAACCTATTTTCTGTAGAATCATATTCCTCGCACAAAAAAAGTCAACAACTATTTTCTGTGAAGTTTTTCAAAACAATTAACACACTTGATGTAAAGTTTTGTTTTTTTTATTGGGGGGGGGGGGCGAGTGGGTAATTAAGAATCCAAAAAACCTAGAGATTAGAAATTCTGCCACTTCATCTGTAACTCCAAGTACCATACTACCCTATAGATAAACCTCTCCATAATTGGAAGAAGCCAGAAGAAATAAGCGAGAGGACTAAGCGATGTCAAATGATGCAAGGTTTGGTAAGTTTAGAGCCTCTTCCAATACTCATTAGTACTGCAGTAGGAGAATCTCATATGCTGGAACCTGGAGCAGGTCATTACCTTAGGATTTTAGGGCAATTCACAGCCCTTTCCCCCACCCCATCTTGCTGATGATTTAGATCATGCCGGACTTCCTTTCAGGCTATCCAAGTTTAGCGCAGCAGTCTTGCCTCGCTTTCGGGACTATAGCTAGTACCCATCTCACACCTCCGTTTTCTACGTGGTGTAAAGGAATAACCCTACCCTGCCTGAAAACAGGGAGAAAAGGGATGAAGTGCTTTCCTCTACCTCAGGTTCATGATTTACTTTGGAGCTTCTTTTTTATCTTAGTCCACAGCCTGATGCACATTTGAGCCAACAAGAAAGGCAATCCTCACCCCCCTCGCCCTCATCCAACTCATTCCCATTCCTGTGCCGCCCTCTCTATTGAGCTGCAGCTGTTTATGCAGCCAGATGGCAAACCAGATCAGTTCCACTATCCAGATCACGCTGCCCGACTGCATGAATAGCTCGTGTCAGCAGGAGGGAGGAGGGGTAACATGCGGCTGGAAACAAGCTGGCAGGGTCTGGGGATCATTACTGAAAAAAAGGCCGTCAACTTCATTTAAAAGGCAAATCACAACTACACTTTTCTTGAGGAAAGCTCTGAAGCCTCACTGTGAAACTAAGATACAACTGGTCAGCTTAGAGTAACATTGTCACTAACTGAACCTTGTCAGTTTTATCTGACAGTTTTATCTGCCCCCGAGGCTCTGGAGAGAGCTCGCTACACCACTGACTGGCAAAGACATCCTTTTACTAGACTTGGTTTTCGGTGACAGCAAGGTTTCCACTATGCCAACTCCAGACTTCCAAGAAGCTTCTCTGTGACTTTTAAAGCTTCCTTCTTGTTCTCAGACTTCTTTAGTTCCAAATTTTTTTTTAGCTAATGGAAATGCTGTTTGTTTGCATTAAGCTACTCCTTTAGAAGAAGGAAACTACCTGATGAGAATCATGCGGATTTTCCAACAATTCAGTACGGACACGTTAAAACAACTGCAGAATTCAGAGAGGGGGAAGGAAGGGAGTTGTGGGGCCAGGATAAGGTAGGAGTTAAAAAGGCATCAGAGTCATTGTAACAGTTCACCCTTTTCCTAATTTCACAAACGAAAAAAAAAGATATCCAGGCAGCTTCCTCCTTACCTATTTCACCATGTTTAGTGATAGGACCTGCATGAATCTTCAAAATATCTAATCTGGCTTGTTCATTCGGTAGATCAATATCTAGAAAGAATTACAGCTTTAATAAAAACAGATAGGTATGATTCACATGCAGAATATCCTCCTTCCACCCACTGCGAAGGAGTAACTCACGGATTTTTCTGTCCAGTCTTCCAGGTCGCAGAAGTGCAGGATCCAAAGTGTCTGGTCTGTTAGTAGCCATGATCATTTTAACTCTGTGCAGAGTATCAAATCCATCCATCTGATTCAATAACTAGTAGGAAACAGAAGCTGGCTCTTAAACAAGTCAATATCCCTTAGCATGATCTATTACAGTTATTTTCTGCATACATCTTTTCACCAAGATACAAAAGCACTACAGATAAATCAGAAACAATGCTACAGACCTTCTAACAGAAGGCCACAGCTCCCTGTATATTCTGTAAGCAAGGAAGGAAAGCTCCGAGAGGCACGGAAAAACGCCTTGTTCAGGAAAAAGATGTTGAACAAAGCAGAGCTCAAATGTGAAAGACTCAGATAAAACGGTACGGCGATGAAGACACTGCAAGTACTAAAGAACCCAATGGCTGGCTGACACACTTGGGAGTAATACTGCATTAGGCCCAGGACGTTCAAATAACACATGGAGTACAGCCTCTAGAATACTAATAGTTATACGAAGACATTTCATCGTGAAAATTCAGAGTACTTGCTCTTTGATCAGAGTGATCCAATTCTGTACGTAAGGCAGACGCATTCTTTTGAGCTGGGCAAACTGTTTACAAACGTAAGCCAGTGAAATTTGCCATTAGCTTTAGGCTTTTTAACTGCCACTTGTGTTTTTAAAATTCTCTTCACAAAACTGGGTTTACCAGAGCAATTAGTACTGAAACAAAGAAATACATCCGCTACTTCTCTTAGTTTTGAAGCATGAACTGGTACAGTTCTAAAATTTTGGAAAGTAAGTATCTTCTGGACTGAAAGAGACAGGCTCCGCTTTTTCCTCTTGAATAAAGTTAAGGCCCTCAAGACACTCGAAGATGCAGCAAACAGCAGCAAAGTCAGCTCACAGCAAGAGCAGAAGATATATTACATAATTTTGGCAATGTTAATGATTCTTTCAGGGCGTCTCCAAGTTGAATTCATGACCAAGTTAACAAGCTTTTCTGCTACCTTTTCCAAGAGCAGTATCTAGTTCACTTTCACCTTGAGGTACTAACTCAGAAACAGTTCTAGCAATCCAGATTATAACGTAACAATTCACATCTGGCTTATTATTTAATATAGACTGTACAGCAAATAGGCAAGAGTTCAGACACTCACCTCCATCAGAGTCCTCTGAATTTCCCTATCAGCTGAAGTGCCTTCAGAAAAACGGCGACCACCTGTGGCATATCAAACTTCAAGTTACAGAAGATTATTTTTGCCTCCACATAATGCTACATCAGAAGATAATTACACAAATGCTTTTTAGCCTAGTCAAAAATCCAAGTCACACATGAACAGGCCTAGTTTAAGCTACCTGTAACAGCTCCAGGAGGAAATTGAACCACCTGTCCCATTCTGCTTCTTCTGGACAGACAAACATGCATGCTTTAGTCTTCTTGAGAAGAGAGACTGTAGATTCATAGCTAATTTCAATGTTCAAAGGAGACTAACTGTCCTCCAGACCATTAACCTTACCAATAGCATCTATCTCATCCATGAAAATGATACATGGCTGATGATCTCTGGCATAATTGAACATCTCTCTGATCAGTCGAGCACTTTCGCCAATGTACTTATCCACTATAGAACTAGACACCACCTTTTGGGAGACAAGACAAATGAGTGAAGAGATTGGAGTCCAAGCAGATTAACTCTTACTGGAGGGGAGAAAAAAAAAAAAAAAAGGCGGGGGAGAGGGAGGTGGAGATACATTACCTTTAGGAAATTGCAGTCAAGCTGGCTAGCAACAGCTCTGGCCAACAGCGTCTTTCCTGTACCTGGACACACAAGGGACTGAAGCTGTTTAAAATAGTAACCCAAACGCTACAAGCATACAAGTTTGATTTTTTTTTTTTTTTTAATACAAGGCTATTCCAACAGTTTGAGAGGACAATTAAGCATTCATTGCCATTTCATGAGAACTTCACTTCAGATCTGTCTGAAAGGTGTCTATAAGGGGCTGAGATGGGGAAGGGGGGGAGTTTGCATTGTCAATTTTAGGTTCTTTTTATACTAGAGTTCCTGAGACAGACACATCACTTAGTTGCTCAGACTACCCTCTGACATTTTCTCCTGACTTGCGGCCTTACAGAGGCAGCATAGGGAGGACAGTGCCTTGTTAAGCACCTGAGGTTAACAGGTTTGAGCATTATTGCTCTTGAGCCTCACTTCTCCCTCAGTGAACAGAATTCACACCTGAGGTAAGAGAAATCAATAACGCATCACTCACCAGGGGGGCCATACAGCAAGCAGCCTTTTGGAGGTATAATTCCCACACGCTGGAATAATTCTGGGTTTGTAAGTGGTAATTCTATTACCTGAAAAAGAGAGAGGTAAGTATGGTTTCATTTTCAAAATAGATCAGCAGTCCTAGGAAGTTCATGGCACACCTGCAGCTCTACTTCCAGACACATTTATTCTCATCTATCTGCAAAGCAGATTTAGGAAGAGAAACAGTTAAGCAAGAAAACGCTGTCAGATCAAGCTACTGGATCAATGCACAATCCTGCCCTTGTTCTCTTCAGTCTTCAACTCTGCTATGGCTGTTTCTTCCGATGCTTGCTGCTTAAAATTATGTTTTTCCACCAGCCATAACATAGCTACCCAGAACTAGCAGTTTTGGTGCAAAATTAAAGTTGGGTTTCCTGGTTTCCTAATTATTTGCTGGTCATCCCTAATTATACTCTCCCACTTCATTTTATGGCATTCCTTTAGCTTAAAGGATCCTGTACCCTTCAAACCCTTTTCTTTAGCCGAGTTCTACATTTTAATCTGAATCCTAGCTTCAGTAACAGCAGAGATAAGTTGCAACCAGTTTGAGAAATAGGCTTTGGCGTTCAGAATAATCCTTCTCTGCTACTGTAAGGTGTGCGTAAAGCGCATAAACAATCCAAGTTATCATCAGCTGGCTCACAGCAGTATGAGCTAGCTTTCAAACACCCACGTTCCTGGCCAGGCTTGCACAGCCTGCAGCACTGATGCCCAAACTAACAGGATTACTTTAGCGTAAGTGCACCAGCATCCTGCAGTCACACTGCTGCCTGCCACAAAGACAATTAAAAGACTGAAAAACATCTAAACGACACTTTAGAAGTTATGTTCTAGTATAGAAAAATGTCTAACTTAATAAAATATGCAAAGCACTAACCTGACAGCATCCTTTAACAGCCTGCCTCATGATAGTGCGGGATAAAGTTCAATCAAACAATTACTTATGCACCGAAAAACTTCACTGAGATATTTAATACCTCTCTCAGCTCTCTGATTTGTTCTGACAACCCTCCAATCTCGGAATATGAAACATCCCCTGGATCTTCATGAGACATATTATAAACCAGCGGATCCACTTCCCTTGGCAAGTATCTGGAATATGAAAATAAAAGCAGACATTTTCCCTTGTGCAGACGTTTATACAGCTATTGCAATAAATCTTAGTGCCAGTGTGAAAATGATTTCTCTTCCTCCCACTTTGAAAATGAGACAAACATGTTTGTTTAAAAAACAGAACCTCAAACCTAGCAACCTTTTTTAAAAGCTTTACAAAAAAATTGAAAACTGGTGAAGAAACAAAAGCTTAGCAAGCTGCTAAGCAGGCTGAGTTTTATCTGATAATTACTATTAAAGAACAGGCAATTCCCCTTTTAATTTAAATATATTTCATAAGTTCATAAGGAAGTTCATAAGACTTCCTTCAAAATATTTGCCCTTCTGCTTGCACTGCTTTGGAGAAAGTATTTATAAAATATTATAGAACTGAATGTTCAAACACTTCTGTAACCTATTCAAATCAGTATTTTTTCCCTTTATATGATGGGCAGAACAGCCGTGGAGCAGAAACGTACCTCATAATAGTCAGAGTGGTCATATCCAGAGCAACTCTCGTCCCAGGCTTCAGCTTACTTTTGTCAAGCTAGTCACAAAGATATTTCTGTTAGAAGTAGTCTCAAAAACAATGTCTGGTTTTAGCCCAGATGCGTACTGTAGCTTGCGCTCTTTCCTCAATTACACAAGAGGAGAAACAAGGCTGCCACGCTACATGCCAAAGCAGCTAGTCTAGTAAACACTGGATGTCCCTCGCCACCATTTCTGGGAACGCTTTAACTGGGGAAAATGCTGGCTCATTACTTTATGGGAATGTGATCTTGGTCTAGGCTAGCTCCTGGATTGTTTCTTCCAATGAACCTTTAGGCTGTCACAACTGAATGCTAGCTAAGCTAAACAGATCACAGGAAGAACTGTTTACGCAGAAAGAGATCTTGAATAGCAGGTCATTAACCTACCTCTGCCACTTTCGAAAGTGAACACTATTTGCTAGAGAGCAATTCCTGTGTTCCTAATAGGATTTCTTACTGCTGCCAATCTGACCAGATTAGCAAGAGCTCTAATCCTCTGCTCTGCTCCACAGAGGATAGAACCAGCTGTTTCAGAGCAAGATATAAGCAACCTTCCTGTAAGGACATATGGAACAGCCTGTCCCTAAGAGTCTGAACTTGCTGTCCTTCTACTCAGTGGCCTTTCCTTTCTGGACTATCAGAAAGGGGGAATAGAGCTTCACAGCCTATTTTTCCTCATTTGCACATTTTCATATATCCAGTTATATCCCATCTTCAAACTCAACTGTTCCAGTTGTAATGTCGCTATTTTGATATCAGAGACGATTCCTTACCTTAGATGCCCTACTCATTTGCCTCAACAGTTTTTGTCAAACTACTCACCTTTTATGAGGTTTTTTTAAAAAGGCTTCCCATTAGCAGTCCTACTCCAGAGCTCTGCAGCACCCTCTGCTAATATCTGCTGGGATTAAAACTACTAATTCCTATTTCTCATCTTGCTCTTAAGAAGCTCAGTCTAGAAGTCTCACCTCTCATACCAAGCAGACTTGAACAGTGATCATAGAAATCACCTTGTCACTGTAATTTTTTTAAAACGTATTTGATTCACACTTAAGGAATATAAAGCTATTCCTTCTGAGCTCTACTGACCACAAGCAGTTACATGGCATCTGAACAAGGAGGATTTCTACAGCTGTCCGAAAGCTCTGCCTGAAGCTTATCATCTCCCTCACTGGGAGATTTATTAACATCCCTTGCCCATGTGGATTCTTTAGTCTCTAGCAGTGTTTAGGATCAAGCTGTCACTCCTCCCTCCCTGGAGTCACTGACAGGACCTCTTTCTTAGCTGCCTAACCTTAAGAAGCCTGTAGGAGCTTGAAATTCTATCAAATTCAACATGGTCCAAAAGTTTTAAGTTATTTTGCAGTGAGATGACGACAAAGACAAACCATTTGAGCTTTAATTACTTAGGAATTGCACTTTGGATGTGGAAGTAGTTTTGTTTAAATTTAAACACTATTTCTCCCCTTCCTCAGCAGACTCACACAGCATAAGAACTTTCATCAATAACTAGCTCCATTAGGCTGCCAGAGAGAGACACTATAGGAAGTTATTTGCCTTGATATTTTATCATTTTGAAAAGCAATTGCAAATGTGTTTTTGAATCTCTGGTATCAAATCAAGGATCTTTTAAGATCAAAGAGTGTTTTTATTCAAGAATAAATTCAAAAGTATGCGCTACAGGCTCAGAGCACTTATCCAAGCACGAGCACTGCTCTCTGTTCCAACGTACAGCCTCAGGAACACCTCATCAGACCTATCACATGCCCAAACATAGGAGTAAGTGTCCTTATATTCTTAGGAAAATATTTTGTTTGTTCTGCTGAAGGAAAACAGAGAATTTGAACTATAAGATACCGAAAGAGATGAAGCTTAAAATTATGCCTTCTCAGTACTAGCAGTTCTTGCAGGTAAGGAATGTTTCATACAAGCTCAGATGCACCACATCAGTACGCTCAAGAGAAGTCAAGGATATCTGGACACATATACTACACACACACACACTCTTGACACCCACACTGCCCAAATAGTTTGTTTCTAAAAGGAGGAGAAAAGGTCCATCTTTCCTGCAAAAGACATGATCCACTGACAGAGTCAACACCATGGGAAAAAAACGCATAAGCGCCACAATGTTAAGTTTTGATAATTGTGGGCCTTCACCAGAAATTCTTCTGATAGTTAGAACTTCTTTTTTTCTAATGCTTTCAAGCATAACCGGCTCCACCTCTGCCACTTCCTTGTTGCCTCTCAACTCCTCCTACAGTCCTCACAACTCCATTGTGCATGCATCATCTAAATATACTTGGTTAGCTTTGCTATATTGTTCTATTGCACTGTTTTTCAGTTTAGCTTTATATATGAAAATCAGTCTGGAGAATCTGAGTACCGCAGAACATTCACATGAGTCTTGTGAACACGTTTTCCTTCTTTGCATAGAATCAGTAGCAGCTCAAAATTCAAAAGTGAAGATCACAGTTTCTCCTCAAAAAGAGAAAGAAAAGCCACCTCTAACACCAGTACTACATCTCAATACACCTCTTATTGAGCAAAGTTCCTCATACTTCAGAATTTCTGTTATACGGGAGAATATGCTACAATCACGACGTATCAGAAGTGCAGTTGCAGTTACCTCTCCCTACAGTAAAGGGGTCAATTAAAGATGGATTAAGAAGTCACCGCTGTTCTACACACACTTACTTGTGCATTGAAACAAACAAATAAATAAATAAATAAAATATTGCTGCCTTCTCAGAGAACTGACAAACGATCCTTTCCTGCTGTTGCTACTCTCTATTCAGAGAGTACCTCACTTCATACACATTTTTCTTTGCTTCCATTTCTCAAAGTCAGGGATGAGTCTATTAAAACCTAACTAGAGAATCACTTTCACGCCCCCAGTGGCTCTGCAGCTGCAGAAAACTTCATTAGATATTGTGGTTCCTATTTAATAGACAGTTTTGGTAAGAAGTAGCTTATCTAAGGTGCTGCAATTACTATAAATGGGCCACATTAAACGGTCAATTAACCAACAAGCCATTCTTAAATTCTGTGTGTTTGCAATATATCACTTGTACTTTTATAGAAAAGTAAAAAACACAGACTACCTCTAAGCTGGTTCTTGCTGACTGCACCAGAAAATGGATTATTTTGTAAGCAAGGTTCTATGAAGTGTCAAATTCCCACAGATTTTAAGGTAGATAGAAGAGATATTGCCCTGTAAACTACAAGCACCATGTTTCTGTAAGATCATTAAAGACCAAAAAAAAAAAAAAAAAAGCTCTCACAAAGCTTACAAAGCTTTGTATAACAGGGGCCTTACCTACCGTAAGTATTCATTCAACTGGAGTGCAAAAGCATTAGAAAAATACACAGTTACATAAAGAGAGATAGAGAGATAACGTTAGATGCAAAGCATTGCACTACAACAGCAACGTTTAATGAAGAGAAAGTCACAAAACAGCAGGGGAGACCTTAGACAGTTTGAAGTCATGACAAACAATTTTCAAACAGTTTAAAATGAGGCAGAAAGAAAGAGCTTGGACTTGATGAGAAGGATAAACGCATGCAGTGTTTTGGACTGTTTTATCCTTACTAGGAAGTTATGCCACTACCACTTAGGAAGGGAAAGGGGAAACAGATATTAGTGGAATATAGCCAGAAACAGCATAAAGAAGACGACACTTAATCCCACTAGCAGCACAGCTGATCAAAAGCAACGTTAATATTAAAGATCAGAAGAAACTCTTTACGAATATTCACATAAACTAGCTACCTGACGACGACAGCCAACCACATATCTTGGTCCATTTGTAGCCTTCACAATGACTAGAGAGAGAAGATTTAAAAAAAAAAAAGTTTAGTCACCGCTTTCAATTACACTTCTAAAGTATATTATGTTTTTCTGCCAACATACAGATCACTGGCACTTTTAATTCCTCATTCTTTGAGCTCTTTAGCCAAGTTTTAACTGCAAAAGCTTATTTTCAAGATTTCAAAGAATATAACTGTCCAACGTACTTACATTTCTCTTCTGTTAGCTGCTTAAGAACCTCACCAACAATCTGCAAAAGAATAAATGAAGTATTAGCACACAGGTAAGTGACAGTCACAAAAGAATGTTTAACATATGCCACAATCTCAATGCTGATAGTTATATTCCATATCCTTTCCCCTGCTTCAAGTTGCCTACCTGGACTTTCATTTCTTTAACGTATCTCTGCTAAACAAGACACAGAGAGAAAACCTCTCCACCTATGATTGTCCCTGATGATAAGACACCTGTTTCTGTTAGCTACGCTGTTGCCACTTATTCTTTCCGTTGCCACAAACGGCCTTAAGAACTGCTGTTTCCAGGCGAGTTCCCTGTCACCACCACCACACGTAGCTACGGCCTTGTTTCTCTTACATACCTGCCCGACGCTCTGCAAGGCCTTGAGATCGTTTTCTGACTTTTCATATTGCTTGGTGAGCTCTTTCAGCTGTTCCCTCACTTAAAAAAAAAAAAAAAGAGAGAGAGAGAGAGAGAGAAGCACATGATTTTGCTGACTTTCAATCCAGCAGGAGCGGTCCCGTTGACAGCGGCAGAAGCGCGGCGGGCAGAGCCAGGCTGGGGGCTACCCGCACCCCCCACAAGCCCCCGCTCGGGGACTCCCCTTACTGAAAAAGGCCCTGCAGAAGAGGGCTAAAAATCCCTTTCGGGATTTAAAACGCCCAAAAGCAAAGGGCTCGGTGCCTCTAGGGGACGTTGCCCCCCCCCAGCGCTGCCCCGGGCCAGGCCCATGAC